AGAACATCGTGAGAACCAAGGGGAATATGGTAGGAATTGGTGTTCTTCTTAAATTTCTGGAGGTTATATGCCTCGGGGAATACCTCCCTTGGCAATGTGTTCCAGAGCCTCGCTGTTCGTTGGATGAACGAGTCTTTGGAAATAGATGTTCTGCAGGTATCCAAAGTGACCACGAATGGGTGCGAAGCCTCAACTCGACGGGTTAATCTCGCGAGGACTACCAAGGGAGGAACAATTGTTGATATTTCAGAAGAGCATCGTCCATGAAAATATCTATAGAATAGAGCCAGATCGCCAACTTTTCTACGGTGTTCCAGAAAAGTGAGAGAGTTTATGAGCGAGGTATCACCCACGAGACGAATTGCCCTTTTTTGGACAGAATCCAACAATTTCATGGTATGTTTGGGTGCTGCACCCCAAATATGGAAACAGTATTCCGGGACAGGTCGGATCTGTGCCTTATAGATCATAAGAATATCTTATGAATGTATGAAACGGCACGGATGGAAAATTGATCTGAAGACAAGCGATAAAAAAAAAGAAAACAGCAGACTAGAATGAAACTATATTTTAGGCCCATTTTCGAACAGAAGATTTTAAGATTCGTTTGAGAGTATCTGCTGTTCCATCCATTTACAAAACAGACTATTTCTAAAAAAATGTATCATTATCATCACACAAAATGCAAAACAATATTACCATGGAGAATTAGGAATTGATTGCAAAACTACATAATTTATTGATACAGGGTGTTCCAGAAAAACCTAACCCCCTTGCTAGGGTAGGTAGAACATTGCAAAACAAGTTGGGTTTGCTTAGTGAAAAAATGTCGTAACGGCATCCGTTTTCAAGATACAAGGTGTTGGAGAAATATTTTTTTCACACATTATTTTGCGATTATGTCGAAACTACTGGCAACAGTGTGATAAAATTTTGTATGGATGTGTTCTGAAAGCTGACACACCGCATGAATTTGTTTTTATATCTGACACTCATAGGAGCCGCTAGTTACACGGTTCATACAGTACTTTCGAAAATAGCTTTTTTGAGGTTAGATTTTTCAGTCCGAATTCAATGGGAACTTGAACACCATTCAATTTTACACCAAAATGATGCTCTTGGTGAAACTCGATACTGTGTACTGTTTTCGAAATATTTCGATTTGAAAATGCTGAAGAAATAACTTTGATTCTGGTATTAGAATAAGTATTATAAAAAACAATTATCTATTTATCAAGGACAAAAATGCCTGCGTTTTCACGAATACACAATTCGATCCTTTTTTCTAAAGAATGCATCAATATTTTCAACGGTTGAGGATCAGCTATGAGATCATCGAAGTGATGTTCAATTCTTTCTTGCAGCTCTTGACGTGAATTTACCTCTGTAGCATGGACTTTTCTTCAATATAGGACCAAACTGTGTAGTTCAATGGATTGAAATCACATGAACGTGGAGGCCAATAAATCGGAGCTTCTGCACCTCTACCAATCCATCGATTCGTATAATTGTTCCTCAACAAATCACGACACCTCCTATCAAAATGTGGGGGAGCTCCATCATGCATTTGGAACAGTTAGTTAGTTAAATTTATTCAATTTTTATTTCTATGACTCTCTGTTCAATTGATGACTCCCACATTAGAATAATCTCATTGGTTTTGGTTATCAATAAATGAGTAACAGTATTTTATAATACTTACTTTCAACTAGCATCAGTGTTATACTCCAGCATTTTCAAATCGAAATATCCCGAAAACGGTACACAGTATCATATCATATTTTAACAAATTGTCTTCAACTGAATTTCAAAATTACATTAAAAAACACTTCAATTACTGATCATAGAATAATGTATACCTCCATCGAAAAATCTAATATAACTTTGAAAGAGTTCAAGAAACGTGAAATAACAATAATTGATTATCATAAATTCAAACAAATTGTTTTCGATGAATTGAGTAGAATCCAATGTGAGGAATTCCAAAATTTAATAGAGATTGTGTTTTGAAGGCTAAAAATGAGTCATCAAGGAAAATATATATTAGAACACGTGAAAACAATGATTGGATCAATGATAATATTATTTGAGAAATGGACATGAGAAATTCCAAATTCAAAAGACATAAACAACAAATTGATGATCAAGAACTTTATGATGAATATAAAATACAAAGAAATAAAGTAAATGCTATGATAAAAAAGGCAAAGGCTCAATATATAAATAAGAAATTTGAATCAATCAATCAATCAATCAATCAATCAATCAATCAATCAAAAATATGCTTTATTGTCTAAGAAAAATTACTTATTGACAAAGCGTTAGATTATACCATCACAAATAATGAGTTACCTGATAAGTAAGTAATAGTAAAATACTATAATAATTATCCTACATATGAATATAAATATAAAATATAAAAGAATTTTTAAAATCACAATACAAACACATTAAAATAATAAAACTTCCTGAATGGTTATGATATATATATATATATATATATAAGAAGAAGAAAGATATTGTGTATGAACACAGAGCCAGAGTATATATATATATATATATATATAATAATAAATCAAGATATCACAATGAATCACAATTAAACAAAACAATTAATGAAAATAGTTATTTATGCATTAAGTGCAAAAAGTGAATGTTTGAGGCCGAGTTGGACAACACGTCGAGTGCAATAAACAATTTTTGCACGAGTAACATACAACATTTTTTCTACGTTCATGCAAAAAGCAAAAAATGATTTATTGAGGTGCGGCACTAGGTACAATTCTGTTAATTGTCAGAATTAATTTTTGACTGACGTTTCTATAACCACAGTTGCAATATAAAAAATGTTCGTCGAAGTAGAATGACAGATGAGTGCAATAAAAACTTTATTGCACTAAGTGCAATAAAGAACTTATTTTTCCACTAAATATAGTTCAATAAAGTTCTGCTTTTTGCATGAATGTAGAAAAAAAAAATTCTAGTCAAGTTTTTTTACTTCCTTTTCAAATGTACTTGTATTCCTGCAATGGAAAATTTGAGAACAAAACTGAGAAAATCAACTAAATTGCAACGTGATATATCATTGAATGGCGTTCTCAATAACGACCGAACTAGCTATAAGTAAATAATATTTTGTCATATTAAAATGCATTTTCTTCATTTTTAGAACTGTTGTTCTGCAAAGTGCCTTATGGCTTTAAATACAATTGAGTCTTTATACCCTATTTCTATTGCCATCTACGGCTATGATTGATTTGACAGAAAATCTAACCTTTAAAATCGTATCTGACAATCAGGCGCTATTAGGGAGATTGAAAAGACAAAGAGCAGAATATATGTCTTATTCTCTTATTCATTCAAACCTTTGTAATATAGGAAATAGAAAAGGACAGAAGTTCAGTTGTATCGGAACTCTTTTCTAACTAATACCATCCAGTGACTCTAGTAATTCTAAAAAAATCGAAATTATATTTACTGCTATATTTTTGCTATAGAGCTCACGATGAAATCTTTTTAAAAGATCAGTGGTCTCCCCCATACATTTTTGTTGCTTTCGTTTGTAGGAACTGTACAAAATGTGATTCTGATCTACTTCCACCTATTCAAGGTGTAAGTGGGGTTATTTCTCGTTGTATAAAGAGGACATATTCGATTGTTTGTTTGTATTGAATAGGCTCCAGAACTACTGGACCGATTTGACAATTTTTTCACCATAAGAGGCCGATGAACATAGGCTACTTTTTACCGCGAGAAATGCTTCATTCATACGGGAAAACGGGTAATAGGACAACGAGTTGTAAGAATTATCCTTCCGTACTTTTCTTTTTCACATAGAACTTCTAAACGGCTGAACCGGATTGGGTTGAAATTTAATACGGGTGTTTCAATGGTTTCCTGGATGATTTAAACAAACAATTGGACGCGGTAGATGGCGTAGGTGGTAATTGTCGGTACGTCAATTACTAAACGGCTTGACCGATTGGGTTGAAATTTGTAAAACGTAATACAACAAAAAAAAACAAAAGATATAGAGAGAATGGAAATAGGTGTAAGTATATAATAGTAGCTATAAGTAAGCTCAACAAATTCCAAAAAATGACAACGACTGCAACAAATGTCTTATTCTTTTAAAATGGGTACACCAACCGTGCAAAGCCGGGCCGGACGCTAGTGAATATTAATCTGACAAGAAGTTCATTCAACAAAATTTTGACAGCTCTCATTTCCATGGCAAACTATGCAGAAACAGTACTTGCTACTTTTAGGATAGTGATGAATTTCCCTAAATATCGAGAAAATATCATCATGACTTGAAAACTATCAAATATAGGTATAGGGAACATTGATACAGATCGATTGAGTGAAAGAAAAATATTGACATTCCATTTGAAGAAAAAATAGTTATGACTACTTGAACTCTCCCAAATGTTTTTCCAAATTTGATAAATGTTTAATCGTTTTTCCGAATCACAGAAATATACAAAATTTCAATTCAATAGGGACAGCTAATGAAGATCATATTGAAAAAACATACGGAATCTGGAAATGCAAAAAAATATAGCTTTCCATTTGTGAGGACGAAGTCGATATCCACTTCCGGTATAACCGGAAGTGCAGCCATCTTGAAGATATTTTCATCGAACAGGACTCAATCGATAACACTTGTATAAAAATGTTCAGAATAGCGTCATTTTCAGAACTCCAAATACGTCTAATGTGCGGTTTAGACGGAACAGCCTGTATAAGGAGCCGGACAGCAGCCGTCAGTCAGTTGATCAGTCAGTGTCACAGAGACAATTGTTTACCTACCGCGTGTTTTAAACCGCTCGAAATAAATAGTAGTACGTTTGTGATAAATAAGTGTTTCTTCAAGTTCAATAAAACAGTTTGCGATTAAATAGTGTTTGTGTTCACTTATACTCACTAATAACATAACAATACTTTATGATGTAACACCCTGTTTATGCGTAAAATACCTTTTTCTCTGAAGGCGCCACCTCTGCTCCTCTCCCGACCCCCTTCGGACTGTCCGCCGCAGGTGTCGTCGGCGGCGTTTCGATTGCATCACTCCCATCTTCACTCAGATCGTAGGCGGGCGTGCTGTGGCTCTTGTCGAGCCGCCCCCGCAACTTCGTGGTAGCGCTGCGAGGCGGCACGGCCGGCCTGATTTTCCCCCCCTCGGGCTTCTGCGGTATTTCCGGTGGTTTTTTGAATTGAGCCCTCGGCAGCACGCGAGGTTTCGCCAGAGGTTCGGTTTTCTGCTCGTCGAATTTCCTGATGATGTTGTGCACGTTGATTTCGCTGAGTATCGGGTCTTTCACCTAGATTTTTTTGAATGTAAATTTCTATATTTTCTTGAATATTTACACTAACAAGTTGAACCATCCTAATGAGAGTAATGAATCCGAAATTCTACTCAGTGGGGGGCAGTGTCTATGAGTGACAAGGTGAATTCCTATTTGTTGAGTAGCGAAGGGTAGAGATCAGTATTGCAAAATGAATTCGAATCTTGTTTCATTACACTAAGAGATGTCGCATCAGGGCTGGATTAAACTATTTTTATTCGAAACCCTGCAGAATATCAAAGTTGGTGATATGTTCCTGATACAGAATGAAGGCTATTCCTAGATATTGGAAAGGAACATTATCAGATATATTTATGAACACAAAAAATGGATATATACAGGGTGTACCAAAATTGCTGGGACACAGAGCTACCACGTGTAGAGGAGGTCAAAATAAGTTAATTGGACCCAATTTATTTATTTGCCAAAATGTACCGTTTGTCCGTGAGAAGGGTTCAAAGTTCACTTGAAAAAACACATTTTTGTACGCTGTTCAGGAATAAGTGGAACTAATTTGATGAAATTTGGCAATAGTGTATTTCAGAGGATTACTTTCCTTTTGGTAATCTAAGAAACCTAAAAGAAATTGTAGAAGGGTTGAAACCACCCTCACCCCCTGACGTTTTCTTCAGAACTTTTTTAAGGGTCATGATACGGTTCTGAAATTTTTTGAGCTTGAAGACTCATCAATTACCTTCATTTTATCACTCTTGTAAAGATTTCGTTTACCAAATCGTTTCGAAGAAAAAAAATGTTCTCTCAAATAATGCTACCAGATATTCCTATAAATACATTGAGAATTCGAATTCTCCATGTGATGAAAATATTAATTCTTTCTCGGTTTATTCAACAGAAAACAACTACTTTCCTGGCTATATGCCACGACAAATACTGAATTAAATCTATTGAACACACACGATAAGAATTTGAAAACAAAATCTTCTGAAGTAGAGAATTTGAATTCTCCTTCATATAAAGGTATGCATACAATATAATTCTGAACATTCAACAGAAAACAACTAGATAGTTCAGCAACTTGCAAATCGATGGACTCGAGCAAATTCCGAGAGTATAGACAAATCGGCCATATTTTGCTGTGTTTCGCTAGCGCTCCCTACTAACCAGCCAAGACCTTTAGCCAAATTTAGTTTCACCATTTTACATGTAGGTGAGTCATCTTGTTAGTATAAATAATGAAGGCTATTCCTAGATAGTTCAGCAACTTGCAAATAGATGGACTCAAGAAAATTCCAAGAGTATAGACAAATCGGCCATATTTTGCCATGTTTTCCTAGCGCCTCCTACTAACAAGCCAAAACCTTTGGCCAATTTTGGTTTCACCATTTTACATGGTGGTGAGTCATCTCGTTAATATGAATGATGAAGAAATTTTGTAAGTTTCTGTGTTCATTATCATAATATACACAGTGAATTGTTTTGAATGATAATGTATACATTTGGAAATTTTATTCGAATTATATGAAACAATGTATCCGTCCTGATTCACTTCCCTCGGGCTTTACGTATTTCCGGCGGTTTTTTGAATTGTGCCTTCAGAAACACGCGAGGCTTCGCGGGCGGTTCGGTTTTCTGCTCGTCGAATTTCCTGATGTTGTTGTGCACGTTGATTTCGCTGAGTATCTGGTCTTTAACTGAATTTTTGGAATGTCAATTTCCTAATTTTCCTTGATTATTCATATTAAAAAGTTGAACCATCCCAATGAGAGCAATGAAGTCAGAAATTTGATTCAGTAGGGGGCGGTATCTATGAGTGTCAAGGTGAACTATGTTTTGTTCAGTAGCGGTAGAGTTGGATGGTATTAGTTAGATAACGAGTTCGAACACAGAAATGACAAATGTGTGTTTTTCAATATTTTGATTTATTAAGTTACACCTTGCATTGTGACAACAGCATCATAGTCGTTCCACGCATTTTCATTCAAAATTATTTGAATTTGACAATAAATTTTATCAACATCAAAATTGAAATATAATTTCATAAACCATGGAAGGAAATATCAACCATTCCCTTATCGAAAGAATGTATGAAACGGCCTGGGGCCCGATTCTCGAATCCCTTGGAGTTCGTTCCCATGGGAAAAAATCGATATTTCCCATGGGAATTTGAGATGATGTATTCTTGAAATATTGTATGGGAAACTATTCCTACACATTTCAAGAGAACTCCTTTCCATGGTGATATCCATGGAAACAACATGTTTCCCATAGGATACACTCATGAAATACAAAGTTATTCTCATTTGTGATGGAAACTGAACCCTAGTGAAAAATCGGAAAATCATATGTATTGCAAAACATGGCAAACATAGATGAAATAACTCACATAGAGGTTTCACAAAATTTGGAAGTGATGGCTGAAATCCTTGCTAGAAGACCAAGAAGAAGGTTTTTGCCTAGAAGGGACCTAATTGAGTGATTGTATGCTGCACAATTTATTAAAGTTTTTCGTTTGTCCAACGACATTACTAGAGAATTGATAGGTACTTCAGAATCCTCATAAGTGGATTGGGGAAGACATTTTCCTTTCCTCAAGTCCGCAGAGGCCTCCATCATTTCTACTAAAAGTCTTTTCTGCTCTTTGTTAACACTAACACCTCGTGTTTTTTTTTAATATTGTTTGTATCCATTTCATTTCGATCAGAGGAAATATAGTGAATATACAATACTGAATACACAATAATTTCACCGTCGCAAAACTATATGTTACGAAATTATATAATGATGAGTAAAGTGTATGAGTCGTCATGGGATGAAGAATGTATGATTCAGTTAGATGTTTAGTCAGTCGGCAGTATGAATTGTAGTGGAGTATCGAGCAGTCGTTGTATGAGAGTGCTTGTGAGAAAGTAATAAATTGTTGAATTACCCACGTTGGTGTTTCAATCTCCGATAGAAGTTAACATCAGAAGTTGGGATCCTGCCTAAAGCCTATTGAATAATAAAGCATAGTGCTAACATGCCGAGATCAAGGCGTCGTGGACGACGTGATCGCAGCTCGTCGACTAGCAGCGCAAGTACTACGAGTTCAAGCTCTAGCAGTTCATCGTCCGAAGTTCATACCAGAAGGAGAAGAAGACGTAAGCAAGCCAGGCGCAGTAGAAGTATGCCTGATAATAGAATGAGTGAACGAAGAACGGAGTTACTAGACTTAATTCCAAATTTTGATCCAGGAGTCGATTGTATTACTGATTGGTGTAATTTAATTGACAGACATGCTGAAGCTAATAGCTTGAGTGATGAAACAGTTATGGTACATGTTCTGGGAAAATTGAAAGGAATCTCACGTTCTTGGTATGATTCTTTCATAATGAATGAAGTAGGGTGGTCAACGTGGACTTGGCCACAATGGCGTGAACATCTGATCACAACATTCTATAGTCAAAGAAACACATATAAATTATTTATGGATATCGCCAACCATAGGCCAAACAGAGGTGAGTCGCTTTATAAATATTATTTCGATCATCTTGCTAAAATCGAGAAATTGAAAGTGAATTTCACCGATGCTGACAAAGTTTATCTTATAGTAGGAGGAATACAGGATGATAGTGTAACATCTGTCGTAGAAGCAGCTAATATCAACAACCCTCACATATTAGGTAGTTACTTGAGAAATAGAGTATATGAAAATTCTAAAAGTAGTAATACTAAGACTGAAACTAAATATATGTCAAATCATCATCTTCATAAGCAGCTTGAGGAGCACAAGAGAAAAACCATAGTAAAATGTTTTGGGTGTGGTTCTAGCGGTCACGTTAAAAGAGACTGTAGAAATGTGAATAAGATATGCAATTTTTGTAAAGGAGTGGGGCACATTGAAGCATTTTGTACTAAAAAAGCAAAAAATATTAATAATAACCAAGTGAATTTAATTAATACGGAATACAAACAGAAATTTTACAAACACGCGAAAATCAATGACTTCCAGTGTGAGGTATTTATTGATACAGGAAGTGATTGTTCACTAACTGAAAATTACGTTGCTAAAGACTTAAAGTTGAATATATTCAAGTTGAAAGATCCTGTCAATCTAGCTGGGTTCATAGGTAATACCGCCACAATAGAAGAAGCAGTTGAAACTGATATCGAGATAGACAATGTCAAATTAAAATGCACACTGTATATAATTCATGAACACTTGTCAGAAAGCCGTATCCTGATTGGTAGAAATTTCACAGAACACAAAAGCATCTCATATTGTCGTATTTATGATCAGCTTACATTTCACATGTCAGTCAATCAGATTCTAATATAAATGTTGTATGTGTTAACAACAAAAATGATAAGTCGGATTGCTTGGAAATGATATTATGTGATTTTGATTGCATATTTAATGAGGGGCATAACCTAAGTGCCGACCATCACGTCAAAATGTCAATAGAATTAACAAGTTCGAAACCGATTGCTTTTCGCCCTTTCAGATTATCAGAATCAGAAAAAAATATCGTTAGACAAATTGTTCAGGATTTGTTGGATAAAAATATCATACGAGAAAGTAGCTCACCCTATTCAAGCCCCATTATATTAGTGAATAAAAAAGATGGCGAAAAGCGGCTATGCGTTGATTATAGGGCTCTCAATAAAATAACCGTGAAAAATAAATACCCTTTACCTATAATCGAGGAATTGATTGATAGACTTGGTGATTGTAACTTTTATTCCAAATTGGACTTGAAATCAGGTTATCATCAGATAGAAATGGAAAAGAATTCGATCGAGAAGACGGCGTTTGTGTCTCCTGAAGGCCATTACGAATACCTTCGGTGTCCATTGGGGCTCACAAATGGGCCGTCTTTCTTTCAACAAATGATAAATTCAATTCTGGGTCAGCTCAGATTCAATAAGGTTATTGTTTATATGGACGATATTCTTATTGCCACAAAAACTAGTGA